GCCTGTGGGGGATGCTTTCAGCAAGCCCTGACTGGGCTCTCGCGTCGCCGTGCACCAGCGATTTACATGCGTGTGAGAGCTAAGAGAGTCTCTTTCACTAACAAACTGCCTTTTAAGAGAATCCCACAAACAAACCCCCCTATTTGGGGTGCCGAATGCTTCCTCAGAGCTTGAAGGGAGGTGAAGACATCTGCAGAAATCTGAGAAGGGGCCAGTCGCTAGTGTTTGAGCTACCTGTAAAAGTAAACAGGTAAACACTTCCCACTCCTGGAGGGACACTTGTGCTGAAGTGCTAGCACTTATGCTGTGTACACGCACCTCTCCTTTTCAGTGTCTTGTTGAATTGTTCAAATAACCCCCCTCCATCCTTTAATTCCATCCTCTGGATGAAGGAGGAGTCCGGAATTCTTAAACTGATGGGCAGGCGAATGGACCTGTTTTGCTTGGGATGTCAGGCGAGAGGAACTGCTGGGGAAACCAAACCGCTCCATTTTCAAATCCATTGTTGCGGTTGGAGGGTTGGGAGCGAAATGAGCGTGCACTTATTTAGGATTCAATATTTTGCCGCGTTCCCACTGACTAGACCACAGATTCTCTCCCTGTGCATAGATGCAATTTAACTGTTCCTGGGAATGTGGATCTCTGTCAGCGTCACTGCTTTAAACCTAGGATGGCCTTGCCCAGGCTCACATCAAGTCATGCCAATGTAACGAGAAAAGAATCCGGATACTCTGCCATTCCCCTTTGAAAATTCCTAGACTGGGGCTTGAAAGGCTTGCTTCTTTCACCCTAAACTCCCTTCATCATCCCAACCCCCATCCTATAGTCCAGCTGGGACGAACATCTGTGGAGAGGGAAAACCAGCCCATGAAACAAAACACCAACCCATTCCACAAAGACCTAGGAAGGTAGGGGTTACTGCCAGCTGGAAGCGGCTCCGTGGAGTCCGGTCCGCACAGGGTCTCTCCGGGCCCTGGAGTGAAAAAGAAAGGCCAGAGTTCCAGCTGGAAATACCGCAAGCTGCGCCAGGAAGAGAAGCCCCGGCTTCCACCTGCCCCCTGCCACTTAGGCTGGCGATTCAGGAAGGTGGTTACGGTCTCTTCTGCCTGCAAGAGAAATCCAAGCAACTTAGGCCGCTGGTGTCAAAGACTCAGGAGAGCAGCCCAGACCGGGTCTTTCTGCTGAATTTCATGACCGGCCAGACTGGGGCAAATCCTGTCTCCGGCCCAGCAGTAGCTCAAGCAGCTGGAAGTGCTCTTCGCGTCCGTCCCTGACCTCTGGCTAAGCCCACGGCTTGCCCTTCGCTTTCCTCGGACTGCGAGGTGCTGGGCACGGGTGGATGCCAGCCCTGCGTGCAAGACGCCCGACGCCCGTGCGGAGAAGCAGACCGGCTGCTGTTCAAAGCAAGTAACAAACCCAGACCTGGAGGGAAATGGGGCCGAGCGACCCCGAGTAACAGTGGGAGAAGCCTTGTTGCTCTCCTCCAAGCGGTTCCTTTCCAGTTGTGGGAACTTTGGGTGTGAGGCAAACTTGTCTTAAGCCCCGTAGATGGATGGGTGGTGGAGAAGCGATGGCGATAGGGGATGAAATTATGACTTATTGCAGGTCTTTTGTGTACAAAGGAGAATAGTCCGTCACAGTCCAGTTGTGTGGCTCAGTTGGTTCGTGCGTGCTTCTCAATGGCCTATTGTCACCCTCGTTCCAAGGGCGGCTGATTAATGTTCACTGGGAGCCCTGATTTTCCCTTAGGAAAATATTTGCTTATCAGCTGGCTGGAGGGAGCAGATCTGCCCGGCCCGTCATCACATGGGGAGCGTGTGTTCCGGAGTGTAACCACCAGGAGGGCTGTCTTGATACAATTCAACAAGTGAGACTTTTCTCCTGATTTTCAAAGAAATCTTTTTGTCCGCCAGGCAGTCGCATCCCACCCAAAACAAACAGAGGAGTCAAACACCGGAGCACCCTTCACAACAGGTGGAAGACCTCTGGCAGAACCAGGGTACCTTCTGGCGGCCTTGGCCTAAAGCGAAGGGCGCTGGTGCTGGTGTTTATGGCTGCGCCTCGCGGCCTTCCCCAGAGTCTTGCTCTGTGGCCGTAGGTCCTGGCACCTTGCCCACCCCTGCTCCGATTACATTGTGGGAAGGGGGAAACACGAACACCCGCTTCACCCTGCTGCTCTGGAGTAACCTGCACTCTGTATTTACCTATTGCATGTGCTGCTGTGAACTCTTCCGCCATGGGGGGGGGGTCGTCACTGGCGGTGGTCTCACAGCCTTAAATCATGCGAGCACATTATCGTAACTTATTTCCTTTATTTTGAAATCCGGATGGCTCTTCCTTCCCTCTCCCCATCACTTTAGAGACATGTCTATTATTAACTCGGATAATTCCTACAAGGCTGTCAAATTCCGACTTCTCCTCGGGTTTTTCCCCGGGCTCCCAGTACGCACACCGAGGACGTGCCATGAAATCGATGAATATCAATTAAAAAAAAATCTTGTCCTGCCTTCCCCCACCCCACCCCAACACGATACATGTATTTATTTATTATTTTTATTTGGGTGAAAAGAGAAGCCGAACCACATGAAGAGGTTTTCCTTAATATTGTGGCGAGATTCCGAAATGAATGAAGAGATAGTGCATTGAAAGGCACTGAATGCCATGACAACTAGCAACGACCTCAGACGTATTCCAAACAGTTAGGGCACATTGAAAGCGGGCGTCAATCACGTATTATTTCGCCAGTGAAATAAATGCAAAACCTGGTCGACGACAAAGCCTTCCAACAGAACGCGGACATTTGTCTACATTTCGCCCATTGTCCGGAGCTTAAGGAATCGGTTTGTATTTGTGTTTGCCCCGGTCCGACCACCCAGAATGCGCCCCAGCACTTGCTTGAAAAAATCCCAAGCATTGTCATCCGCATCACACGCGAGATGGGGGGCAGAGGGAGGGGGCGGGGCGGGGGTGGGACCCCGCGGAATAAACTGATCAGCAATCATTAATTGCTTTGGTGCGTCTCCTCAGATTTCGCGCCCCCCCACGACCCACCCAGCAGAGCTGTGCGCCCAGCCAGTGGTTGAGAAAGTCAGGCGAGCTATTTTGATGCCTCTGAAAGTGTTGGGGAAGCGGGGGGGGGGGGGACAGAGAGTTTGCAGCGCAAAAGGAGACAAGCCCCCTTTCAAAATACCCCTTCCCCAAAGCCGGCTTTGAAGACACCAAAAGGGACCTTCTATAGAGTTCTGTCGCGCCCTAAATATTGCAGCCCGCATCACACACACACACCCCGCAGATTCCCTGGGAGATAAACAATGCCAGCGAGCAAGAGACAGCGAGAGAGTTAACTCTGGGAAGGGGCTGCGAGGGAGGGCCTCGCTCAGAAAGGGTCCCAAGGAAGCGTGAGGAGCCGAGCTTCTCTGGGGATGGGGAACGGACCGAGCTGGAAGGCGAGGAGAGGGGAGAGCCCGCCCCACCCCCGGGAAAAAGTGCTTTGGTTCAAGGGAAGACCGAAAGCACTGGGCATTTTCCCGTCCACGGGCTGATCGTCCTTGGCGCCCCTGAGATGCTGCTGGGTGCTGCCAGGACGGGCTGCGTCGTCGCACCCCGAGCAAAGGGGTCCGAAACGTTTCTGTTTCATAGGAGATGCGGCTGCATTTGCTTTTTCAGAAAAGAGAATTTAGAAACTGCATCTTCACGTGTGTGCGCGCGCGTGGTACCCTCCCAGCTTAGAGCAGATTTTTTAAAAAATGGGCCGCCTCTGGCTTTTATGCAAGCGAGCGAGTAATCTCCCCAGAAAGCTGGAGAGTTAAATAAATTAGTGATGTGCAAATAAAAAAGCGCACGGAGAGAGCAAAAATCGTTGGACTCTACTTAGGAGCTTTACTGCCAGTTTAGCTGATTTCGGAGCAAACCGGAATCAATTACGGACTGTTTAATTTCTAGCACTCATCCTTAAGCCTCAGCCAAAATATTGACCTAGGAGGTTTACATAAGTTGGGCTCCTGCCATACCAACAACATCTTGTTTAGGTAACAACCGATAATGTGAATAGATTCCCCGCTTCTTTGCTTCCCCGCCCTCCTTTCTTTTCTTTTCCTTTCCTATCCTTCCCTTCCCTCTCCTCTCCTCTCCTCTCCCGCTTCATCTGCAGGTTGCCAGGTTAGCTCCAGCCACTGCAAAAGAGTCAATTTTCCGGCTTGCCTGTAGAAAGACAGAAGGAACGGGGGGGGGGGGGGATGCCAGCCGCGAGAACCGGCCAAGCTGCGCGTGGCTGCGGGTGGCGCAGCTTCCTCGTTCCACTGGCAATTTGTTAAAACGCGCTTTCAAGTGCGCGGACTATCTGGCTCCTTGGCGCTCCTTTGTATGTAAATACTGTGCAGAAAGAGCCCTCCCCATTTGGGTAATTAATTGACACGTTACGGCACTCATCGGTGCTACGGCACCAATGGGGGAGGCACGTATTCCCCCCAACCCCGCAATTTCACATCTGCAAACACTGTCTTCATCCACTTGACTTCGAAGACCCGCCCACACGTGGCCAACCTTTTGCGTGTTTAATGCATCTCCCCCCCCCCTTCTCCCTCTCCGCAGGTTCATGTGCGGAGACCAACCTTATATGGACTGGCCGTCTCAGCAATGGCTTTTTTTCACCGAGGCTCCGTCAGCGCGCTGGGCTTAAAGCGGACCTTCGAGTAAACGCACGTTGGCATTTTTCCTGGAGTTACAAAGTCCCGCGGAGGCCCGCCCGCCCCTTGCGCTGCGCCGCGCCGCGCGCGAAGCCCCGAGCCCGGAACAACGGATCTCCTATGCCGAGGGACCACCGCTGATTCCTGGCCTCTCCCCCTCCCCGCTCCCCGAATTTCCGTCCCTTCTCTCTTCCAGCCCCCGGCCCCCTCCCTTCTCTCCCTCCCCCATCCCTGCGAGGTGTGCGCCTGGCGAAGCCGGAGGGTCGATACGCGAGCTGGTCCTTCCAAGTCCCCCGCGCAGAATTCCGCCGGAATATGGCTCTGACCAGTACAAAGACCGGGTTTTCTGTGAAGGACATTTTGGACTTGCCTGACACCAAGGACGAGGACGCATCCCCCGCGGAGGGGGGGGGAAGAGACAGAGGGCTCGGGAGCCCCCCAAAAGCCCGGCGTGGTGGGCACCACCGCCTTGGACGCGGTCCCGACGCTGCCCTTGAAGAGCCCGTTCTATGACGGCACGGATAACCCCTACACGCGCTGGCTCGCCACCACCGACAGCATCCAGTACTCGTGTGAGTAGCCGAACTTACCCGGGGCCGGCGTCGCGCGTGGGGCCGGCAGCACCCCGCAGGAACCCGGATGCGCCGGGGTGCTCCCACGCGCTCGCGCGTGTGGGTTTGTCGCGTGTTTCTAAAGCCCTCCTTCAGCATCACACGTGTCGCGGGACTTTTTCGTTCTTTAATTCTCTTAAACGAGGATGTGGCAGTCGCGAATCCTCGTTTAGTCACGAGGGAGAAACAGACAGGAAAGCAACACGGTTAGGAAAGGTGTTAAAATACCGCATCCCGAATTCCCCCATCCATCCGCCCCTTCCCTCGCATCCTTTCTGCTTTTCTAACGAACAGAGCCTGCTTTGTGGGCGAGTTTGGACGGCCTGGCTTGAGGCGTTTGCAAACCGGCCCATTGGCTCCCCGATCAAAGAATGGCTTGTTGAATTCTCCCTTAAAAATCAATCCACGTAGCGCAGAAAAGAAATCCGTTCGGGTTGTTTGTCTTTTGTTTTAAAGGGAAGTGTCCAAAGTCCAAGTGTTGGAAGCGGGGGAAGTTCTCCTGCGCAAGCCCCCGCTTGAAAAGAGAAAAAGCAGAAGCGGGGATTGCTCCCAGTATTCCCACGATGACAATCCTCTGTCCAAAGCCAGACTCCCGTATCGCCTGTTCTTTCTGTATTACGTTTCCTAAAGCATTTCTTAATATACCTGGGCGTGCGTGTGTTTTCACCTGTATCGTGTCGTGTCGCACCTCCGCACGCACTTTTGCACGTGTGTGGCACACGCAGAGAGAGAGGGCGAGGGGGATGCTGCACGCACAGGCGGTGCTTGCACGGACGGGCCAGGGAGAGAACGCGCGCAGAGCGTAACACGCGTCGGCTGCATGCTTCGGAGCAACCGCAGCCCACCCGCAATCCCGGCGCCGGCTCCGCCACGGCGGGCACGGAGGCCCGGCCTTTCCAGTCCCCGTTTCCTGGGGCTGCCTCGGTGGGGTTAGCCAGCCCGCGAAGGGCGGCACGGCTGGGCCCGGGGCCCGGGAGAAGAGGCGTCTCCGCGCCCGGCCGCTTTCCGGCTGCGGGGCGGGCGCGGGGGAGCGGCTGCGGGGCCCGGCGCGCGGGAGCGGGGTGGAGAGGGGGTCCTGCCGCCTCCCGCCCGCCTTCCTCCTCCTGATCGGCCTCTCTTTGGCTCTACCCGCAGTGCACGGCTTGGCGACCGGCAACTCGCAGCAGGACGCCGCGTCCAAGTCGCCCGAGCCCTCGGCGGACGAGTCCCCGGACAACGACAAGGACACGGCCGGCAGCGGCGACGCGGGCAAGAAGCGCAAGCGGCGGGTGCTCTTTTCCAAGGCGCAGACGTACGAACTGGAGCGGCGCTTCCGGCAGCAGCGGTACCTGTCGGCGCCCGAGCGCGAGCACCTGGCCAGCCTCATCCGCCTCACGCCCACGCAGGTCAAGATCTGGTTCCAGAACCACCGCTACAAGATGAAGCGGGCGCGGGCCGAGAAGGGCATGGAGGTGACGCCGCTGCCGTCGCCGCGCCGCGTGGCCGTGCCGGTGCTGGTGCGCGACGGCAAGCCGTGCCACGCGCTCAAGGCGCAGGACTTGGCCGCCGCCGCCGCCACCTTCCCGGCGGGCATCCCCTTCTCGGCCTACAGCGCCCAGTCGCTGCAGCACGTCCAGTACAACGCGCAGTACAGCTCCTCCGGCGCCGCGCAGTACCCCTCGGCGCACCACTTGGTGCAAGCTCAGCAGTGGACTTGGTGAGCGCCCCCGGGCCCAGAGACTCCGAGGCGCGGCGGCCGGCCCGGTGCGGCGGGCCCGGGGAGGGGGGCGCGGCGGGGAGCGGAGGCCGGGTGGGGAGGGGTCGCCTTCTGTGGGGCGGGAGTCCGCCCCCGTCCTGCGGGGGTGTTGTGTGCGCCATGTTTACAAGAGGAAGCGAAAACCGCGCCGTGGCGAGCGGTCCTGTCTACCTACAACTGCACATCTAAACAAAAAAAGAAAGAAAGAAAAAGGAATAATAAAAAAGAATAAAACCTCGCTGCTCTCGTTATTTTTGTCACGAACGTTTGTGTCGTGTAGAAGCTGCTCTCGGTGGTCCGCAAAGCAAGGGGCGAGGATTGGAACCGCGCCGAGAGAGGGAGAGCGCCGCGTATCAGACTCGGACAACGGTTAGCAAGCTCTTTATTGATTTCTTTGGTAGAGCGATGTGGAGACGGTTGCCAGAGCTCGGGGCGGACTCTCGTGTTTCGGTTTGTTTCTGGTGGGATGCGATTTATTTCTCCCAGACAAGAACAAACAATGCTGTAGAACTAATTGCGAAAGGAAGCGTGCGTAAATCCGGACTTGCTGGGAGTACTTCGGCTTGTCTCCCAAGAGCGCTAACACCAACGCCGTGCTTTTGGAGTTGTTGGCTCGTTGTTGTGGTGCTTGTGGCTTCCAGCCCAACCACGCGGCGTGGTTCGCTGGGCTTCTCGGCTCCGTCCCGTTCGCTGAGCAGGTGGGGAGTCCCGGCTGGCGCTTGGACAGCGGACCTCGCGGGAAGGAGGCCGCCCCGGGTCAGAGGGGAGACGGGGAGGCGACTCTGCGGCCTGGCTCAGCTTGGCAGGCCGGGGGCGCGCTGGCAGAGCTCCGAGGACGGCGGGGACTTCGCCGGCCCGTCCTTCCTTCCCTGCGCCCGTCCCCTCTACTTTCCCGGCTCTGCTCGAGACTCTGGAAGTAGATAAAGTGTCAGGTGGAGGGGAATTTCCGCCTCCGCTTCCCCGCCCAGGCCGCCCTTTCGGCCGCTCGTGGACGTGGCAGCGCGCCCTTTCTTGCTCCGGAGCTCGTGGGCCCCAGCGCGTCTTCCTTTCCGGGCCGGGCTGATCTCCGTCGGCCGACAGTGGAAGTCGTGCGCGGTTCCCCCGCGCGGTGACGGGACGTGGGCGAAGGAAGCGGGCCCCCTAGCCCGCTGCAGCAGAGCCGCCTCATCCGCGCCCCTTGGCGGCCCTGGGCGCCCGGAGCCGCGGAGAGAAACCGGGGAACGAGGAGCGAGGGAAGGCCCGTCCTCCTGGCTCCGTAGGGCTCTCCAAAGAGGGCCGGCGGCCGCGTCCGGCGCAAGCGGGAGGGTCGGGCCGAGGGGCGAGGCGTGGGGCGCGCCAGGCAGGCTGGAGGAGCCGAGCGGTGGGCCTGCGGAATGCGGGGCGCCGGGCCCCCCGGGAGCCCTTCCACCTGTTCCCTCCGCCCCGCGCCGGAGGCAGGAGCTCTTTCCGCAGCTCGGGTCCCAGCGGAGCCCCCGCCTCGCGCCTGGCCAGGGGTCGGCTCAGGGCCTGCGCGAACAGCTCGATCCGGCGCCGGGATCGGCGCCGCAGCCCTGCGCGGCTCGAGAGGCCGGGCGTGCGGGCCGGGCGCTGCGAGGGCTTGGCTGCCCGCCGGGGCCCGCGAGGCCAAGCCCGGGCCGCGCCCGGCCTGTCCTGCCGAACCGGTGCCCGCGGGACAGGGGCGGGCGCAGGAGCCGAGCCGCCCCGCGGCGGGGGGCCTGCGGCGCCTGTCCGGGCGGCGCCCTCGGGGCTCCCAAGGGCGAGCAAGACGCCTTCCCTGCCCGAGCTGCCCACGTCGTGGCGCCCATCCTCGCGCTTCGGGGCCTGCTGGCCCCGGCCCGCGGGGCCCGCCTCGAGCCCCCCTGCGCCCCCAGCGTCCAGACTGCGGGGAGCGCGACCCCTGGAAACTCCAGGGAGAGACCTGCGGCCCGCGCCCCCGCCGCAGCAAGCGCGGCTTTTGTCTGGGCGTGCGCGTAATCCTTCCCTCCTGGCCGGGGGCGGGGGCGGGGGCGCCCCGGCCTCTCGGGTCCCTGCTAAGTCTATCAAGCCCGCGGAGTTGTGTGGCCCGAACCCCCAGCGGCCTTGCGTTTCACACGCCGGCGGTGGCGCAGTCTATCTTTGCACAATGTACGCCACTCATCACAAAACGCCACAATAGCGGGGGCTGGGAGTTGACGATGTTACAGGCGTGCATATTAAGCTGGGGGGAGAAAAGGGAGCCACAGAAGGGACAGAGCGGGTGAGTGGGGGAGGGGAGGCGGGGGGAGGGGAGGGGAAGAGCGCTTTCCTCTCTCCTCTCCTCCTCTTCTTTCCTTCTCCTTCCTCCTCCTCCTCCTCCTCCTTTTATTCCGTCAATGCAATTCATCAATGGGTGTATCTGGAACAAGCAGAGCATCTCCGAGCAGGGCAGGGGGAAGTACCTCTGGTTTTGTATTTTGGGTTTTCTTTTTTTTTTTTTTCCCTTCCC